CGTCAGCGAGTAATGGCAGTAGTAGTAGTAGTAGTAAAATATCACACCGCTTCAAGTAATTTATTGAGAATAAATAATTGTTATAAAACAAAATAGTAATTGATAATACCTACAGTTTTATTATACCTTTAATTACATAAGATTGTTAATTTCTATTGAGCGTTATTCAGGAAGATCTTGTTAACTGCTTTAAGTACTAACGATACATCAAGAAAATGACTGAATTTAATAAATCTTGTTGAATTTGTAGAATCCTTTGTTCTTCAAGACGTGACAATAAGGAAGACTTAAAAAGCCTTGAAGAATCATTCTTACTTCGCGTGTTATAATATTATATAAATGTATTTTCTTAATAATTCGATCTAAGTACTAAGTCTAAGTATTTTTAATAAAAATTGCATTACGGATCTTGTTTTTCAAAAGTACATTTCGAGCAAAATACGCTGATCTCTTGAAGAAACTGAAACCTGATATTTTTCAATATAATACAGTTCGTACCTTTAAAAAATTAACTCGTTTTAAATATATTTTTAAATAATTATTGATAAATAAATGCATTATTTTAACTTTCTGTTTAAAAGGTACTACATCATCCATACATCATACTCTTTGTTATCATCAGTTAGTATTGCCCATGCACAAAATAGATCATCTCTTACGTTAAATGATCTAATTATTTAGATGTCGCAGCTTTTTTAGGAAGAAGCCTAAAGAAGCTGAGTTGAAGTTCCGGATATCAAATCTAGAAAGTCAGTCTAAATTTGATATCCGGAAGGAGTTACATTAGGTACATACAGGAAGGCTACAGCCAAAGTAGCATTTTTAGATACAAAATCGAAACAAAATATCTGCTGAGATACATTGCGAAACAGTTTTGATACATATGTTTCGTAACATAAATCTCTTTTTGCTTGGAAATATTTAACCACAATATTATGGTTTTGCTACATAAGCTATAACAATAACGATCTTAATGTCACAAATTTTTCGAAACTTTTAAAAAACAGACATTTACAGATTTCGTGCCCGTTTTGTGCCTGAAAAGTTTCCATAATTTATTTGATATTCTGTCAAATATGAGAACATAACCTTACTTTATTGTTTAGATTTTGTTCTGCAGTTTTTGCATTTTAGCATTCTTCAACTTTTTATAGTATTATAATTAGAAGATTTTATAATTACTTATTATACGCATTACAGACATGATTTGTTTTAGGAATAAATGTAATAACAGACACTACCCAACCCAACAGGAAACCGAAGAAAAATGTTACTAGAAAACTTTTTTTTTTCTCTTTTTTTCATAATGGAATACGTGTCTTTATGTTTTAATTGTGTTTAAATAAGTAAATAAAAATATTTTTTAATTATTTTGACCAGAAGCTTTGATTGGCGTTGTTTGGTTTGGCGTTGTTTGAAATTTCTACAAAGATAGCGCTAAATCGAAATATTTTGGACACAAGGTTTCCATTTATTGTCGATTCACTTTCGAAACACGAGTTTCTCTCTTCTTAGACACAAATATGATATAATGTAGATGATCTGTGTCCGACTCCATGACAATTTTATAAAATGAATTTTATAAAATGAATTGAAATTCCGCCATGTTGGCTAGTGATAACGTTTTTAACTAAAAATATATGTTTTTATCGGCTGTTGAGCTTTTAAACTCATAAGAACACGTTCTACTTACATTACAATTAAACGATGAATTTTCTTTTGCCAGACATTTTTTGTGCGGCAATTCACCTAACAACAAATATTTTAAGACAAAAAAATATGGCGGAGGGCGACATTATTAATGATTGTTTTCATTTTGAAATCCACACACAGACATAGACTATTTTAGTTTGGTATTTTATTTCTTCACATTTAGAAACAGTGATTGCTGAAAACGGGAACATCTTGGACACAAATTGCAGAAAATTTTGCAAAAAAGAAATGTTTGGGAACATTTCCTCTAAAAGTTTTGATTCCGCATCGAAACATTTCGGGAAACGGCTAGTGCCACCACATTGGAAACACATGTAATAAAGCCATATAAGTTTCGAAAATGTTTCCTATTTGTGGCATACCGTTTCCATTTTGTATCAAGAAACAGACACGGTTATTAGAAACAGAAGATATCAATTATTTATTTTTAGATTTTCAAATTAGCTGACAATTTGTGAGATACAGAGGCCAATTTAATTTTTTATTAAGTTAAGTTATTTTTTTGGCCTCTGTATCTCACAAATTATCAGCTAATTTGAAAATCTAAAAATACTAGTAGATAGCCCCAATAAAGTGGCTATGAGAATGTGCAGTTATTTTTTTTTTTATTTTCTGAAAAGTAACGATAGTAAAAAATAAAATTGATTTTCAAACAAATCCGTTTTTTCCAAAAAACTCACCAATCCTTGAAATTTTTAAAACTTTTTTGATGACATCTTGGTGAACATCATAAGGAGTAACTTTGCCCAAATTTAATCATCTTCCTATTTATTACGGTTTCCGAGATACCAATGCTCGTACCTCCAATAATTTGTAGCACCTTGTTATAAATATAAATCTATTTTCTTAATTAACTTTCCTTAATTGACCAATCTAATATATTTTTTCTATTTAAAGAGTTCTTGGCTTTTCGTCAATATTAAGCTTTTTCTGGGTTTAGGAAGTGTTATTACATAACTAACGTTTTGGTTCAGTTTTAACCCTTTTCAAAGTCACAAAACGTACATTTCCTTCGTCAAATTTGTATATTTTAACCAATATTTTAATACAAGTTTGACTGGAAGGAAATGTACAGGGTGGGTTAAATTCGACGCTTTTAAATGGAAACACCCTTTTCTATAGGAGACAAAAACTAATATCGGTGTCTGGAGCTCAATTTTTGTCAAAAACATGATGGTGAAAACCGCATATCGATATCTGTTACCGTTTCGAAGTTACGGGGTGTTTTTCAAAAATATGCATTTTTAACAAATCGCTGTAACATTTTTACTATGGAAAATTTTGTATTTCTATGAAAACATTTCCAAAGCACCTTTTTACGTAGAATTTAATTGTTTAAGTATATTTTTTTTAAATTAATAATTTAAGAATTATCAACAGAAAATTTGATTTTTTATATGGGACACCCTGTATATTTTTAATTTATTGAAAAGAATTTAAAATTAACTTTCCAAAAATATAACACACTTGATATTTTGTTATAATCCCCTTCGAAATACAGAATTATTAAAAGTTCGCCACTTTTAATTAGTAGGCTTTGGACCCCTTACTGATGATATGCCCTTAATGGAACTGGAAAATATATTTTTCCAGCAAGACGACGTACCGCTTCTGAACGCTGAATTTGTTAGCAAATTTTTGCAGCCAATTTCAAGAATAATTCAATAGCTAACCAAGATCCCAGCCGTTGGCCGTCGAGGCCGCCTGACTTAGTGCTCATGGATCTAATCCTATGGATATATTTGCGGAAGAATAAAGGTGCCTTATTCTTCCGTATAATCGAGACAAGAATAAGAAATACTTAGTAGTTATGAGAGGGTATCTTTCACCTCCACTGAGTTAATGAGTTCCGCGAGAAATTTTCAAAAACTGCCCCGTCTGTCCATAAAAGAAGACGGCCGATATGTCGAACACCTGTAGCAAAATCTCATGTCTTGGTTTGCTATTTATTTTTATTGTTATTAGATATAGTTTAAATGTGTTGATGTTGGTTAAATATATTTTAAATTGTTATAAAATTCTGCATCTCTCATAGCAAATATTATTTTCGTTTTAATTGATGCTCACAGCTAGACTTTTTTTGCATTACAGCCGGTGCCGTTCAAAGCCTACTTATTTAAAGCGGGCGAATTTTTATATACTCTATATCTCGAAGAGGAATCGAGCAAAATATCACGTGTGTTATATTTTTGGAAAGTTAATTTTAAATTATTTTCAATAAATTAAAAATATACAGGGTGTCCCATATAAAAAATCAAATTTTCTGTTGATAATTCTTAAATTATTAATTTACAAAAAAAAATTAAAAATACAAAATTTTCCATAGCAAAAATGTTACAGCGATTTGTTAAAAATGCATATTTTTGAAAAACACCTCGTAACTTCGAAACGGTAACAGATATCGATATGCGGTTTTCACCATCATGTTTTTGACAAAAATTGAGCTCCAGACACCGATATTAGGTTTTGTCGATCTCCTATAGAAAAGGGTGTTTCCATTTAAAAGCGGCGAATTTGACCCACCCTGTACGTTTTGTGACTTTAAAAAAGGTTAAAACTGAACCGAAACTTTAGTTATGTAATAAACACTTCCTAAACCCAGAAAAAGCTTAATATTGACCAAAAGCCAATAACCCTTTAAATAAAAAATGTATAAATCTATAGGTATATCAAACCATTAAACTCATTGCAGATACAAAATAGATCATTCCTTACGTCCGATCATCTAACAATTTAGACGAATCAGCTTCTTTTGGAAGAAACTTAAAGAAGCTGAGTTGCAAGAAGTCAGTCTATATTTGATATCCGGAAGGAACTACATTACATACAAAGGCTACAATGATGTATTACCATTTCGCTTAATTAAGTGATGTTAGTATTAACGATTCCTGACAAGTCAAAATGTAGTTGTAAAATTTTAATGTTAAAAACAATATCTCTCATGAAGCTCATGAAGATATTTATTGTTAATCTCTATACAGCTGTTAATGCAGAACAGCTCAGTTTATTTAGGCTACGGAGAAACATTCAAACAAATTTCCGCTATGTGTAGAACATCGAGTAAAATAGTAAACCACACAACAATCAATCGTTATCGTCATCAATTTCCCAGTTTTCCCTTTTCTTCGTCGAAAATCAAAGCTCGCCGTCACCGAAATCAGCTGAGCCGAAATGGACAACGGGAGAGAGAAGGACAAACATAGCGAAACTGCAGACGCCGGGCGTCGCGGTCGGGTCATTTCAGGGCGTCCCTCCAAACAGCTGAGCGAAAAACGCGCTTTCAGCTTTCAGTTCCGACACTGCGATCGTAGTAGGCCTAGCGTCGTGAGCGCGAGCGGCAATAACGCGCGCTATATCCACCGGCCTCTTGTTTTACCAACTCTTCGCTCTCGGACAAAGCGTCGTCGCTTTTTTTATTGGTAAACAAACGTAAAACCGAACAAAAATGCCTACGTACTGTTGACCGATACTGTTGTGCCTAAGGTAAATTGTTTTGCCGCTCGTCGTCGATGTTCCTTTGTTTTGGCGTTGGTCGCTTGTTCCGAGACAAAAGACTGTTTGGTTGCAATGTTTTCGCGCCGGTTGGAAGCGTCGAGACGGCGTCGGCGGCGCTCGCCCTTTCTGTGCCGGTCGTGTCTTGTTTTGTTGGTTTGGGTGATTGGGTTAGGATGTGGTGGAGAGGCGAGTGCCAAGTTGGGGAGGATTGCTAAGAGGGAGGTGTTGGACGAGAATTTGGTAAGGATTCTATGATAACAAAATTCTTCGAAATCATGTTTTTCGTTTCCATTTAATTCTTCTTATAACTGTCTATAACAGTCTATTACAAAGAAGATGAATTCTAAAGATAACTCCTAATAGTGTGATGATGAATTTTATTTATTCATAATGCCTAATTTAAGGACTGTTCTTGCTTGAGTTATATTTAATGTGAATATTTTGATATAACGTTTCTTGTACCAATTTAGTAAGAATTCTGAGCTGACTATTTAATTCAGTATATTTAACCTCTTCATTTGGTTACTGTTCTTGTAACTGACCACATCTAAAGAATTATAAAACTTAGTCTCAAAAACAATTAAGTTTTAATAATTTGCTACTACTTTGTTAATGATTTTCTGTTGACAAATATCGTAAATATGATAATCTTATTATTGAAATTATCAATATTATATACAATATATTATTATGTCTGACTCATAAACAATAAAATGCTCTGCGCCAATTTGATATGGTTGATTTTGTGCCAATCGTGGTTTGTTCGGTTATTTTTGGAGATTGGGGTTAAGCCGGTCTCCACACGATGTGGAAAACATCTTCCAACGTTGGACACATGAGCATTTGCCACACCATCAATTGCAATATTGTCGAGACCTGTGCCAAATGTTGATTACAACGTTGGAAGCTTTGGGATGTAATGGAGAGGCAAGTGCAAAGTTAGAAATGCTTGCTAAAGAGAAGGTGTTAGGCAAGGATTTGGTAAGCATCTCTAAAAGTTATCAAATATATCATTTGATAACTAACTATAAGAATTCATTACAAAGATTTAGAAACAAGAAGGATTCTAAGATAGACATCCTTTAAGAGTCAAATAATTGAGTATGGTCGCAATAAACTTTTTGTTGCCAATTTAGTAAGAATTGGCAAACGCTGACAAATTTATCAATTTGTTTAACTTCTTTATTCAGTTATTTTTATAATTGACCGCAATTAAAGGATTATAGAACTTAGTCCCAGTAACATTTAAGTAAATCTAGTAATTTTATACAGGGTGTTCCATTTAAAAAAATACAACTTTGATATTTTTTATTTATTTGGGACACTTTGTATCTTGTAAAAATATTTTTAAATTGTAGCTCTAATAGTCCTTCAACGAACCCCAAACTTACAATTTGTAAAAATCTCATCGTTTAGCTACAATACTCCGTGTCGTATGTGGTGAACAACCCTGTATAGTCTCATGGTGGATACTTAGCTCCTTAAATTAAATAATCTTTATATATTCAAAATGCAAAAAATAACGTATGTTCCTGCTTGTGTTTTATTTAACATGAATTTACAATGAGTTTTTCAACATTTTGTAATAAAGGATTTATTCGAAAATATGCTTAACGCCATATTGATTATTTAAAGAAATTCGACCAATGTATACTACCAGTAATGACCAATGCATGCGAAACCTGGACACATATATAGGATATCATAAGGTAACTGCAGGTCGTACAACGCTCAATGGAACGAAATATGCTGAAAATAACTAAGAGAGACTGTAAAAGAATGGAGTGGATACGACAAAAGACCCAGGTAATAGATGTCATCCACAAGTGGTCAAATCCCTCAAGTGGCAATGGGCAGGTTTGGTTTGGCACCTAGCAAGAAGTACGGACAACAAAAATTACAGCATGGTACCCACGAGGAATTAAGAGACCTAGAAGAAGACCAAACCTGAGGTGGAACCAATTAGCAGGAATAACTTCTGCCCGCAATATAGCCAACAATAAATGCCAATGGGCCCAACTACAAAGAGAGTATATAAATATGTGACGGAGGCTACACCATAATAAGAAATTATTAAGTATGCTACAAATGATGATGATGATGATGCTTAATCCCATCATTCAATTATTGTTATAACTGACTACAGAGATCATATCACAGTTTAGTCTCAAAAACACTTCTTAGTCTTCCCTTACTAATTTCCTGTAATTTATGTAAAACATTAAACTCTCTGTTACGAATTTAGTAATAATTATTGACCTATCTCATTGAAAATATCTTTAACGTCTCCATTTAATTGTTGAATTAATTATAAACACCTAGTGAATCATAACTTCTATTTCAGAAAGAATAAAATCATTCTTACCAATTTGGTAATGATGCTTTACCAATTTGGTAAACAGCGATTGTTGACAAGTGTTTTCAAGATTCATTTAATTATGCTTATACCTGACCACAGACAGTAGATCATAAAACTTTTCTCTCAGAAACAATATCAATTTAACAAGGACATTTTTACAATTTAGCAAGTCTTGAAAGAATAACATAATTTTTAAAGATGTCTATTTTGTATTGAAAAATAAATAAGGGCCAATCTTTCGATTAATAGTATTAAAAGGTCTCATCTGATTTTGATCTGAATGCAGTTAAGACAGTACATATTAGCCATATTATATAATATACATTTCAATTCATAATTATATTTTGTTCTTTAACAAACTTCTAGACAAGTCTAACATCATGTATGAAAAATACACGTTCTACACTGGGTGGATAATAATAGCTTCTGGACATATTTTTGGTTGCTTTATAGTAGTAAATAAAGTTTTTGGTTTGATTTGGTTGCTACATGAACTCATACCAAAGGATCAAGGAGACGACACTTTAGTAAAATTTGTTAAACATATTTCTCAAATGTTATACCCTTCCTTCATGGACGTTTTTGCTGCTCGTTTGGAGCTATTCTAAATATTGTGACATTTAGAATGGGTAGTTCACCACTAGACTCTTGTTAAAAACTTCGAATTTGGAATATTTAAAATTCTTTGATACTATATACTGTTACCTCATTATTACGCTATAAATTTAAAGTGCATATTTGATATGCACCACATAAATTTTAATAGGTACACTCTAGACGTAATAAATAAATAAACCTAACTTTTGCAAACAAAATAAAAAGATAAAACATGGTTTAAAGTGATCACACAGTGGCATCATTATGCAAATAATGATAGAAACAAGGTCGCTTTATTTTTGTAACAAGTATAAAAATAATTTAAATTTGAATACCGTTAATTATAGTTACATTAGCATTTAATTGAATAAATTTGTATGTGGATCAAATTGATGATGATCCTAAAAAATAACAGGAAAAAGTAATAACAGTAACAATAATTATCCGTTATAAGTACTACAATATTTGGAAATATTATCCTATTTAGTAAATGAGAGAGGTGTAATATTGGGCTAAATATTTGTTTGTAAATAAGTACCTAAAAAACAAGATTATACAAACGAGAACGTTTACACAAACGAGGCTCGGACCGGACGTCCGGGTATAGGCGGTGTAACTTTATACAACACTCGGACCTACCATCTTTCTGGGGAAGACGAGTAGTAAGTTCTCCTCCTAGCTGACCGAGAACGTACCACAAGGGAACTATCATCTCAGTCCTGTCTGTGCATAGTCATCCCGTGCTACAGTTGCAGCCAAAACTGTGTTACAGCGTAACGGTCATCACGTTAAACCTTTTCACGCAGCTAACAAACATCAATGATGGAATATTCGAGTGAAACAAAATCATCATCCGGAGGTAAAATACCCCTTCGATCGGATCTCTGGGAGGGGCTGCCTACTTTAGCGTATCATCGGAGAAACATAAATCATCAATGTTTCACGTTTGCGGCGTGGAACCTCCGCACTCTACTGGACAAGATTAATCGACCAGAGAGGAACTCCCCCGGCTAAATATAGTTGCTGCCGCCTTTAGCGAAACCCGCTTTGCGGATGAAGGTAGCTTCAATGAGGAGCATTACACCTTCTTTTGGAAGGATCACCCCGCAACACACAGGACAATTCATGGCGTAGGCATTGCAATCAAAAACGAAATCGCCACCAAATTATCAAGTACCTATTGGTGTCTCCGAACGTCTTATGACCCTATAAGGTACCCCATATCAGACAAAACTTACGTCAACATCATTAGTGCCTACGCTCCCACCCTAGACGTTAAAATGGAGGATAAGCATAAATTTTACCAAGCTCTACAAAATGCTCTCCAACGAATTCCAAAGCTGGAACGATTCATCTTGCTAGGTGACTTTAATGCGCGTGTCGGCAAACAACAGGAAATATGGCTTGACGTATTGGGAAAACATGGAATAGGAACCGTAAATAGCAACGGTGAACGTTTATTATAACAACATGCATAGAGTATAATCTTTGTATCATCAATACGTGGTTCATGTTGAAGGAAAAGTGTAAGGTATCTGGAAACATCCCAGATCAGGCCTCTGGCATCAATTGGACCACGTAATCGTTCGAAGGACGCATCTAAAAGATGTCAGACTCACAAAAGCCAGAGTAGATGCCGAATGTGGCACTGACCACCGACTTTTAATTTCAAAAATGAAAATCCAGTTAAAACCCAAACATCTACATTGTAAAAAGCAAAACAACATGACCAGATTGAACGTAAGGGGTCTAGAGAACAACGATACTCTGCATTAAACTTCTTATATAATTTCAAATATAAATAAAAAATTGTACTGCATTGAGTCAATTAACCTGCTCCAAATATATCAGAAAATAGGCAATTAACAAAGTTCCAACTATTTTTAACTACTTCAGAAAATGTTCTCAAATCCTCAGCATAATCTAAATAACGAAGTGTAGAGTGTACTTTATATAAAAGTGTTTCAATATAACCTCCACTCTGGCATAATAGGAAGTAGCCAAGGTCTTAATATACAAAGCTTCTCTATCCGATGCGCTGACGGCGGACGAGCCAACACAAAAATAATTAATCCTAGATTCGACCTCTTGACCCAGTTACGTAACATTCTATTAGATCAGTTCAATACGGCTTTTTGTTTTCATATTTTTACGCTCGCATGAGGGCCGAGCTTCTCTTAACGAAGTATACATCTCTGTCTTATATAACAAATATCTCAAGTAATATAGTTATTAGTTTTCAAAAATTTAATTAATTAAGAATTAGAACTTTATTTAGCAATAT